TTAACTGTGCGCTCGCAGCAGACTAGTCGGTGTAATACCAAACATCACTGGAATAGTCGCTTCAAAAAGCATCAAGTATTGCTCATCAGTTTCTCTCTTCATGTTACATGTATTAAGGAAATCATGAGGCATTTGCACTGTTTGGTGAAGTCCTTTTTCTTTTCGGGGTTGTTAGGAATAATATTTTTAATAGCTACTTCTGATTTCACAGTCGACCTAAAACTTGTCGGTTTTTTCTGTTTCGAGCGCTCTCTTAGCGGATCGTGTGATAAGCAACTGACGACAGTCGTAGTTACAGCTGACACTATAGTCACTCCAGCAACGCTAGCGAACTTTGGCATGCATTTTATCGACGGCGTAGCTCACTGTCCATTCTAATTCAACCCGTTTTTCCGTTGTGTTGGTGTTCTGCAATCTTCTGAATCTTTACTGCAAAACCAGCACCCGGCTAGGGAAAAGTTGTTGAGCAGAACAAAATTTAATATCCAGTCAACTTTGCAAAACTGTCTACCCTGTTGGGGAATTGAGAACCGTCCGATATCCAAAGTCGATCGACGATTACTGACTTTCAATGCTCAGCTCTCAATGACCTGCATAATCATTTGTCCAATTTACTGTCTGTTTTCTGAAACCATAATGCGATCGATGGAATGAAATCTTAACCGTACAGGATCATAAGTAACCGTGTATGTCGGTGGAAACTGCTGGTCCTCCATGCATTTTCTTGTTGGAGTAGTTTGAGGTGTTTAGAGGTCCTCGCCCTTTAGCCTTTTCTGTAAAGGGATTTTAAACCGAGATATTAATAATACCGAGAATTAACACTACCCAAAAGTATTTTTTTGCAGTCAGTTGAGTGTCCTTTTTAAAGTGTGCAGAGAAAGAACTTTTCTTTCGGCCTGTCGATCCGCAGTCCAAAGCACTCAGCAAGTGCTATTTCAACCAAGTTCAAGCTATGCCTTGATCTAGACACAAGTTCGCACCCATATTTTAGTACGGATGATATTACTGTCAAGTTCATGATGACTTTCTTGGAAGTCGTAGAATTATAATGCTGTTTCTTGAAGTACCTGCTTCTGGCACCTAAAATTGACCATTGAGATCATTTGGCTCACACCGTGCTTTCCTGGACCTATATCAGGACTCTGTGGTTGTTATGCGACGTTGAAGTAAAGAAGCACCAGTTTTTGGTAAACATGCTAGTGCTTTAGGTGCTTGTTTCATATGTATGCGTTTTCCTCAGGGCTCTTTGAACTTATCGTCTCCACTGACGTCTGCCTTATCCTACCGTCTAAGGGCCTAAAATTCTTTTTCTGGAACCTGTCGATTACTAAATTTTAAACGAGTTGGAAAATAGAAATTTATTTTTTACTGTGTGTTACATTTCTACGTATTTTATAAGTTGTACTAATCTTTTCGTTTTATTTTATCTAATAGACAAGACGGCAATGCTATCACACTGATTGTTAAAAATGGATATACTTAATCATAGCACTGCTGATCGAAATAATGAAATCGACAACCTGATCATCGCTGCAGCGGCGGCCTCTGGCGATGAACCAGTTGAGGGCGAGATTCACAGAGACTCGTCGCAGGTACCCTCGGCTTTTGCTGGATCGTAATTTCTTTAGTACGATGGAATAATAGACGATACGCGACAAAGTATTTGGCGTAATCCCTTCTTGCAACCGGAACATGTG